AGATCAATACGTAGCTAACATACGACTTTCATGTGTTATGTAAATATGTTATAGCTCGGTAATGCTATAATGTTAAAAATTAATTGCAGAAAACTTTGGATGCCTAGCTTAACAATTTATCGCTAAGTAATTTTTTTATCAAAAAAATATAAAATTCATTTGTTTTAATTTAAAAAATTTATAGCTTGTTGAAATAAATCTCGAATTTTTTAAATCAATATCATAGAACTACCGGTAAAATAAAAGGAAAGGAGAACAGTAATCATGACCAATTATGAGAGGTCATGGTCACAATCACGATTATTGAGTAACGTGGGAGTGTGTTTAGTAATGTCGTTTATGGTATTTTTTAATTAAATATATATTAAAATAATATTTTTTTATAATATTTTTTTTGAAATCAAGACAATGTCGAAGATTTGGTATAACGAGGTTTAAATCAAAGGATTTGGTGTTAGAAATAAAATAAATAATCTAACAATTCTCTTTTAAAAAAATATAAAGATAAAGTTGAAAACAAAAAACAAAAAAGTTCTGATTAAAATAATTATTAATATGGCTAGTAATATTGGGGTTACTCGAGTGTGTACTCGACAAGGTTAATATCTATTTCTAACCCGAGTGAATTTATTATGCAAGTCCATGTTAATGTCAACTTTTCTATCATGATATGTGAATTAATTATCAAGCTTTTCTAATCAGTTATAAATTATGTGATTTTCATCATGATTTTAATTAGTTATGAATTCGGTGTTCTGAAGACTCAAAAAGTCTTGGTCTCTCACCTAAATTGACATTTGATAATTGAAACCCAGTTGGAAAAAAAAAAAGTTTTGAAGCTTATTATAAAATTGATGACCTATACCCATGAAAATAAAATGAGTATGGGTTTAGATTTTTAGGTCAAAATCCAGCTATCAAATCATAAAAATAAAATGTAATTTTAAAAATTTATAAAATCTGAAAAAACAAACATATGAAACTTAAACTCGTATTTACCAACCACATCAAATATTTTTTTTTTAAATAACTTGGGGATTATTTTTGATTTTTCATCCTAGAAATTATAAAAAAATTAATAACAGTATAAAAACCAAAACAGAGTTAAAAATAAAAATAAAAATAAAAATATAACAATAACAATAATATAATTCTAGAAAATTTATCAACATATGAAATGACATATAAGATTCCAAATTACAAGCAAGTAATATACATGTAAGATATTACACATCAACATGACACCTAGAAACCAAGATAGTTGGCTATTTTTATTTATTTATTTATTTTTATCTTTTATTTGTTTTGTTGCTTCGTTTTTATATCTAAAGCACACAAAAAATTGATAGTCAGTGTTGGCTTCATTCATTTACCAGAAAGACTTCCCAGGATTCTTTATACGAAAATATAAAATATATCTTATTATGATGATTCTATCAATCACCATCGTTCCCTAGTTATTCATAAAATAAATAAAATATCAATATCAATATAAATACTGCCTACCCCATACCCTTTCTCATCAAGTTTTATGCATACACACATCAACTTGATTAAACTTCAATCCTTTTTTAATGCATAAAAAAATATTAAGAATATAAGGTTTTCTTATATTCAACTACATGAAATTAAAATCAGTTGAAATGGAGTCAAATAAAACTCCAATTACTTAATTTCAAGCACGTCAATTCATGCAAAAGAAAAATAAATATGCGAAAAGCCATTAAAAAAATATATCAACACGCATAAAATCATGGAAAATTTCACCAATAACCTAAATTGAAAGAGAAATGACAAAATAAAAGAGCATCCCATACGTAGTGCCCAAATTAGAATAAAACAAGGACAATAAGGAGTGCGCATGCGCGACATGTGGATGGCTACAACGAGAATTTATTTCATATTTGGCATTGCAAATTCAATAGGACGCGCGCATGCATTTGTTATTTTAATGTATATTCAGGTAAAAAGTACTTTAAAAAAACAATATTTACCACGCACTTAAATAAACACTTCTAAAACACACGTGAAAAACTGTGACATTGGCTAGAGGCCACGTAGGTGGCGGTTAAATCATCTGATCAAGATGAATTTGATGCCCAAGCATGTGTGGTCAAGCTTCAATAAACTCCTCTCTATTATATGTGGGTGTGTATTTGTATACTCCATGCCTCGATTGATTTATAATTTTTTATAATTGTTAAATTTAACATGGAGATTGACTTGACCAACACATATTGACCTAGGTAGGTCGATTCATGTAAACTTAAAAAAATAATATGATTCATCTCAACTTAAAAAAATAAATAAAAAATTATATTTGAAATTTTAACATCTTATATAGAAAAGTTTTGAGACAAAAGATGTTGATATAAATTATCAAAAAAATATCAAATACAATATGATATAATTATTTTATATTAAAAAATTAAAAAATAATTGACGTGAATGTAAATTATAAAAAAAGGTGAAGTTTAGTATATTTATCTAATATATAAAACTTAATATATGTTATTTATAATTATTTCACATTAAAAAATTAAAAACAAAATATATGTAGTTGTAGTTATATATAGTCATTTCATGTTAAAAAAGTTTCAAACAATGCATATGTTAATGTTGGCTTAAAAAAAAGGTAAAGTATAATATAATTACAACTGGTCATTTAAGTTTTGAGTTGGTCATTTAAATTTTACTGGGTCAATTACAAATACATATTTTTATAATTTGAAACTAAAACCTTGAATAACCATGAGGCCGAGTTTCACGAATTTTTTTTTGGAGGGAAGGAAGTGGGGCGATGACAACTTATATTTTTATATTCAAGCTTTTAGCCTTCATCCGACGCTATGGTTTTACTTCTTATTTTTTCATTTCAATGTTTATATCTCTATTTTTTTCAATAAACTAATGTCTTTGCTGTAGTCTACTAAATTATCAATGGAATGTCCATTAAATAAAAAAAATAAAATTCTTATTGTGAAATCCGTTATCCATAAAGTGAAAAAAATTGAAATTTGATTATATAAAACAAAAAAAATTAATTCTTACTCTTTTTTAATTTAATAAATTAAATAATGTTAAAAATAAAACGTTAGCACAATCTCCTTTCTCAAAAGAAACATTTTCAAGAAAAAGTGATTTTTAAATATTTTTATTTTGATGGAGTGGAAGAAATTTGAAGGATTTGCATATAGGGCTGCTCTAGCTTGTAGTTAGTGTGTTTTTAAAGTTAATTTTTTAAAAGTGATTTTTAAATATTTTTATTTAAAAAACATTAAATTAATTTTTTAAAATGTTTTTATTTTATTTTAATATGATAGTGTGTGTGTATAAAATTAAAATGTATTTCTACAAAAACATGTTACATAAAATACAGGATAGGGCCATCTGGGCCACGCGCACCCTTGTTGTAGAATGTTGACAGGTCTAGTGATCCGTGTCTCTTGCAAGATATTTTCTGCACACTATTTGCTCTGCGTTTCTTGCTTTTGTGATTATTTTTAAAATATTTTTTATTTTTTAAGATTTATTTTTTGATAATAATACATAAAAAATATTTAAAATACAAAAAAATAAATTTCATTTTTTTTTAAATTTAAAACATAATTTTAACACAAAAAAAATATTATATTCATTTCTCGGTATAAAAAGCATGATCGAATATAAGTTTTTTATTTTCCCTTCTTTCTGGAAAAACTACCCATCTTTCGTATCAGGATGTGAAACTGGTTGATATTCACGTCTTCGTAATCTCATTTCTGCTGGGTCAATCCTCTGGTTCTCAGAAGAATATTGTAGCATCCCACGGGTTCATTGATTATCTTGAAATCGAAATTATAATTAAAAGTTTAAAGTGATTTTTAACTTTAAATCAAAGTTTTTTTTTAAATAAAATAATTTTAAATTAAAATATATTTAATAAAAATTACTCGAAACAATGTTATTCGAAGAACAGACGCTGTATATGTTGAAATACACAACTTAAAAGGTTAAAATTTTTAATTTTCAATGAAATCAAGATTTTTTTACATAATTTTATAATAAGTTCTTAACTTGAGTCTAATCAAATAAACGTATTACTTCACGAGTCAGAAATCAAAAATTAAATTAAATTAATTTACAAAAATCGTATCAAACAAAACTTAAATCTATAAATTCGAATCAACTTCAACTTTGCACCAACGCACATCTTATTATAAGACAAGACTCAACTCTTAATTTGGAGATTTTCAAAATACATGGAATTTGTTGATGGCCACCAATAAAGTTTGCCATCTTTCCCGTGAAACTGTAAGATGCATTGAAGCAATGACTAAATCTTTCAGTCACTAGAGTCCTTGCGGACCAAAGAACAACTGTTACAAAAGCCATCGCCATTGTTGTTCCAAAATCATGCTGGTGGCACTACTTGTAACCAGGGAATTTTGTGCTAGAAACAAGAACTCAGACACGGGAAAAAATGACTCTGCATTGACTCAACACGTCATCACCAATGGCCATGAGTGTAGAAATGCATCCTTAAGTTTCTTTGAAAGGTTAGATTATTACCTTTCAAAGATTTCTGCCCAGAATCATTATGGCTATTCCATTTTTGTGATACCACAGAGAGGGTGACATGGAAAACTTCCTAGCTTCAAAACCCGAAGTTTACCCAAATCTATCCTGAAAACACTCAAAAGATAAATAGAAAACGCAAAAGAACCACAAAAAAAGTATGGATGGAACGCTACGCTTCACCACTCTAAACTCTTCCTCAACAGCTTGTGAGGCATGGATTAGACATTTCAGTCGGACCTTAAAATTATGCGGTGGCTGAGCCCGCAAGGAGGAATGGACTTCCACAGGCGGGATCAAACTTGATATAATCATACTGTAAAACATCTAAAAGTTTGTCACAGGAGAAGCATGGTGTTTGGTATTGCATTCAATACAACCGCATTTTTTAAAATATTCTGAGTTTTTTTAGTTTTAAAAATATTTAAAAAATTATTTTAAAGTAAAAAAAAAAAATCAAATATTGACATTGGCATATTGCAATTAACAACAAAAGTATTAGTACAAACTAATCAAAATATTCAAGATTTGGATCAAACAAACCCTAATGAGAAGGGGTTAAACCCTTATCATTATTAACACTAGGATTATAGTACCTGCAAAGGACCTTGCATTTGACAACGTTATCATAAACATAGAACCCAGGTGCTACCATGATCCGAACCATGGTTGGGACCAACTTCCTTGCCCTGTCTCCATCCATATCCTCCATGTAAATTGAGTCGAAGTTCACCCCTTTATCCACCCTGAAGACTGGAAAGCCAGGGTGCAAGGAATTGGCCAAAAGGTGCACCAACCATATGTTTTTAGAAGCACCAAAGAATGCCTGCAACAATGGCTCAGGCCAGGCTCTATTCCACCCCAACATAGCCACAATCTCACTCATTTTCCTATCACAAAACTTGCTAAACTCTTCACTGAAATGCCTTGTCCCTTGATTCAATACCTCCTCCCATGTCAAATCTCTAAGCACGTTAAATGACGCGTAGTTTGCTTCACATCTATCAATTGGGTTCAATATTTGATTCACAGATGTCTTTTGAAACCCAACAGATTCAAAATCTTCAAAGAAAGTTTTGTTCAACAAGGCCTCGAGGTAAAAGAGCACACCTTTCGGATTCTTGGAGAATGAGATCTTTATATCGTAAGGTTGCAGCAACACAGATATCCTCTCGTAAACTTTTACTCCCATGTGCCTTAGTTGCATGGTAAGTGACCTGCTTAATAGCCTAACAGAGGACCTAGCTTCTGATACTGAAACCAAAAATTGCTCTATCACTTTTTCACTAACCCCCATAAGACCATTTTGTTGATATTGGTGAATATTGTAACCTTTTCCAATCTGATAAAGGGGGTTGTTGTTGCTGCATTCATCAAGTCCAGACTTCAAATTATGGCAATAAATTTCTAGCTTGTTAAGCTTCTTTTCAAGTTCGGCCATTGAGTACTTGAGCCTTGAAGTTTCAAGAAGTGCTTCATCTCTCTTTCTTGTTGCGTGAATCAACTTGTGAGAAAGCTCAGCTATTGCAATCTTCCATTGCTCTTCTCTTGCTATTGACACATCACCAGTGGATTTTGGACTCTTTCTAGTCAATGAAGAAAATATGGACTTGAAAATCCCATTAGGACTTGCAATAGATGAATGCTTGTTTAAGCCATTATTGTCCAAGGGAACCACCGAAATCTTCTCTCTTGCATGTGGACGGCATTTGTTACAAGAAATTGAACCACCACCACCACCACCACCACCACACCCATCATTGCTATCACCATGTCGTTTCTTGGCGCCCGGCTTGCCATTTTTTTCACGGAGAGGTGTTGGATGGTGCTTTGGCGTTGCTCTCTTGTCTATAAAATTAGCTGGTGTTGCTTTGCTAGTAGTAGTTTGGCTTCCCTCTTCACTGAATTCATCATATTGTTCTTCTCTTTCACACTCTTGAATCTGCCACACCAATTAGAAGAGAAACAAACAACGTCAACGAAGTTAAGAAAATTGGTAATTAAGAAAGAAATTATCGCATATTTTCAAGTGCTCAACATGTGGTCTGACTAAAGTAGATAATTCTTGAATTCTCCATTTATTTTCGGGGAAAAAGATGGTGGCTGTAAGTTGACTTACAGGAGTGATGTGAGGAGATTGAAGATGGAGCACTACTGTTGGTGGTGGAGGAGGAGAGGAAGGAGATTTAGAGGGAGGAGGAGGAGATGAAATTGCCATGTTTATTTGTTATCATCTATCTCGTTTTTGGCGTAGTTTAGAGCTCCATGTAAATCTGACCATCTAGTAATATATACGAGGATATATGTGATGGTTTTTTTTTTTTAATTAGTTCTAGGATATGGTACTGATGCAGCCGAGTATTCTCTGTTTCGGTCTCTTTTCGTATTTTTCTCATTTTTCTTCGGTTGTGTCTTTGTCGTCTTGTAATCATATTGATGACTCACAGGTAGACATCAAGCCTTGGTATTTTACCAAGCTCTGCGATACTGAAAAAATGGCTGTGGTTAGATTTTCCTGGCAAGGATACGTATAATAGTATGAGACAGCATAAGCAGTAACTTGCACGGCACATCCAATTATTTGGATTTTTTATTTTAAATGCGACGTATTATTGAGTAAATTTGTTTCTGGTACGGTTTAATTAATATTTTTAAAGATAGATCATCCTTTTAGATCAATTGGTAAGTTAAAAAAAATAAAAATTTCCGGTATCTTGGAATTTGATTAAAGTTGGCATGAGGTTTTTTTAGGAAAATAGATATTTTTTATAGTTAATTTTGTATTATTATATTTTTCTAATTTTTTTAAGGAAATAATTTTTCTAGTTAAATTTGAGTTTTCTAGTTTTTATATTCCATATTATTCAATACTACTAAAGTTTTTTAGTTTTTTTTTATATATAAAATGATTGTAATAGTCTTTTGGTAAATAAAGACTTGAATAAAAAAAAAAAATTTTGAATGTCTCTTTATAACTATAATATTTTTTATTCTTGAAGGTTTTGATTTGAAACAAATCTTATTACTGTATGCTCACTTTTACATCAATTCATATAAAAGCTTAATGTTTCATGATAATTTTTATTGTATATTGTCAATTCATAATGGTTGGAGGTTGTAGAGAATATATATCGAAGCTTAATAATTTTATATGGTTAATTATTATGTGTTACTAGATAATTATTTATCTAAAAGGTTGTCAAACATAATGCGTGCTCATGTATGAAAGGATAAAAAGATTTTATTGAGTAAAATAAACATTTAAGAAATAATATGTTGTTTTCATATATATTAATTACTATTACAAAAAATACTAATAATAAAATTCATAATGAAACAATTCATATAAAAATATTGTGTCAGAGAAACATAATAAAATAATTCATACAAAAATATTAAAGATCAATAATAGATTGTATTATATGTATACATGAAAGAAATGTTTATGATAAATAATGATTCTTTACTGGAGTATAAATTCAAGGCCAAGTTTTCTTAGACTTGAAAGATTGATGAAAAAGTTTTTTCAAACAAATATGAATTTTTTAATTAATTTGATATTTTTCTATCTTTATTTTTTTATGTATTATTATTTTTTCTAGTTTTTATTTTTTTCTATATGAAGGGAATGGTTTTCTTGTTTGTCTCTCTTGTTTAATATTATTAAAGTATTTTAGTTTTTTTATATAAAAGATTTTAATAATCTTTTAATAAGTGAAAACTTAAATGAATAAAAATTAAATACTTTTATCAGTCTTTATAATTATGATGTTTTTTATTTAAGTTTTAATTCATAACAAACATCGATATCCTTTACTCTCGTACGTGTTAATCATCTGCATATTCTTTTTGTCCGATTCTAAAGAATTGATAGTATCTAATGTGACAACAAAACATAAATACGCGGGAAAAGGAGTGGCGTCGTGCATTATTCACCCGCTTACAATTTATTGTCAACAGTAACAGTGATTTTTTCTACGTTTTGTTAGTTTAACTTTCTTATTTCCAGTTTTATCTTAACACGTGTTTTTCTTATATCTTATATGTTGATATATTCTCTTCTGTTTGTATATTATTGAGAATTCAAGTTATTTGATCAAAATTAAGAAATGTATTGGAGGCCAGTTTAATAGAATATAGTTTAAATTTGTAGTATAGAAACACAATTAAGAAAAAAAAGAGACCAAACTTAAAACATAAAAAAAACATATTGAGACTTTTCTTAATTTCACGCTAAAAATTCCACTTTTGTCCACATTTTCATTATTTACTTATTTTTTATCCTTTTAATTTTAGATATTTATGTTTAGATTCTAAACTATATTTTAATTTATGTTTAAGTCTCTGCATTTGAAAAAATAAAAAATTATAAAAAAATAGTTATAACTACGAACCTTTCAACAATAAAAAAACCCAATTTAAATATCAACATATTTCAATAAGTGTTATTGTAGCTTTTTAAACTTTTATCTTGTAGAAATAAAAGGCTGGGGCTCAAAAGTCTTTTAATTTGTTTTAATTTTAATTTTTTTATCAATTAAAAAATATTTTAAGATTTAAAATTAGTTTTTTAAGTTTTGAGGTGATTTTTAAATGTTTTTGAATGAAAAAAAAAAAATAGATTTTTTGGATTCAAGCATTCGGACCTGAACTTTTCAAAGGTCTTTCATAGCTGGAATTTTCACTAGGAGATGACGCATCAATCTACATTTTTTTGTTTGTTTTTAAATATAGCAGATAATACTTCATCTGCTTTATTAAATGAAAAGAAAAGGTCAGGCGTGGGGTGACGGGCTTGCAGACTCAAGCGCATCTGGCGTTCATAGATGGTGGCTCCTTCTGGCCATGTGCTGAATTCTTTTTATACAACCTTTAGTTTTCTTTTCCCCTTAGTTTCAATTAAAATTCATTACAATAAAATACTTAAAATTATATTTAAGATATTATTTCATTAAATACTAATTAAATTTTCCATATTTTCAAATATGATTATAATATTAGCATTTGTTTCATTAATTATTTATATATGAATTTGCTAATTTACTCATCCAGGGACGATGGTTGATGTGTTCAATTAAAGCTCTAGGGAGGGACTAGCTCAAACTTTATGGCTGAGCGTTTACAGCAGAATTGTTTGAAACAATGAAACAATGATGTAAAACGAAGAAGTTGAATTGTTTGACTCTTTCCATAAACGATTAGAGGCCCACGTAGAGAACTTGATGGAAACAGCAAGAAAAAACCTCCGGTGAGCATAAATGAGTCTTTCTTGGACAGTGGCTCGCTGTGGCATAGCTGATTTGAGCCTTTATGGCTGAGCGTTTACAGCAGAATTTTTATTTAATCATGATTTTATCTTGATTGGTTACAAAACAGAACGCAATTTTCATGCCTGGGCATTACCATTAAATGCATTCAAAACTTTCTACATGCTTATCGCAATGCTACATTTCTACTTTGTTTATTTTGGTAGACCGGAGGCAAGAAGGAGAAGAGCAAAAAAGAAAGGCTGCCATCCATCAGTGAGGAGCAGTTCCCTTTCACCACCCGCTTTCATCATTTTCACCGCTGCGTTACCCTTTCCCTTCTCCTTTGTTGTCTTTTGCATTCTTTATTGTTTTGCAATATGAATAATAAAGAGTAAATTAATATAAATAATGAAAAGCGACTGGCCTCTAGTATTTCCACAGCCTCTCAGTCCATCATCTTTGCGCTGCTCTTTCCCCTTTCCTCCCCCCTCTCCTTCTCTTTTATTTGGGCTGTTCTTCACTGTTATGTAAAGTGAACAATGGAGAATGACCGGCCACTAACGTTTCCACCATTCATCAGTCCATCATCACCGCGCTGCTCTACCCCTTCTTTTTCTTTTTTGTTTGGGTTGTTCTATACTATTTTATAAAGTGAACAATAAAGAGTGTTTCATTGTTATGGCCGGATTCTTCTAACCCAAACATAAATACATCACCAGTTTGATTTAGTAAAATAAAAATTTTTTTAATTTTTTTTAAATATTGTGTTTTATTAAAAAACTAGTGTTTAGTATTAATTAATAGCATTACATAATTATTTTTTTAAAAAAATTACATAACAACATAATATTTATTAAATTCGATTATAATTTTAATTTTTTCTAATGATATTTTACTTGATATTATTATATACTAAGAAAGCCATGTAAACTACAGGTTTTGTCATATGGATTTTATATGCTATGAAATTAGATATAATTAAGGGTTGTTCTATACTATTTTATAAAGTGATCAATAAAAAGTGTTTCATTGTTATGACCGGATTGATCTAACCCAAATATAAATACATTACTAGTTTGAGTTAGTAAAATAAAAAATTTTAAAAAAATTCTTAAATATTATATTTTATTAAAAAATCAGTGTTTAACATTAATTAATAGTATTATATAATTATTTTAAAAAAATCACATAATAACATAGTATTTATTAAATTTGATCATAATTTCAATTTTTTTTAATGATATTTTACTTGATATTATTGTATACTCAGGAAGCCATACAAACTACAGGTCTTGTCATATGGATTTTGTATGCGATGAAATTAGATATAATTGAATGCAATAATAAAAAATATTTTATATAAAATATAGTTTATTTTATGATATAATAATAATAATTAAATCTATAATATTAAAATTAAAAATCTTCAATATTAATATATATATATATATATGTATATATTTTAACTATTTTATAATTTCAATTTCAAAAGTATTTTTAATCAAATATATTAAATAATTTTTTATTAAATTTTAATTTTAATCATAATTTTAACCAAATATATATTTTAATAACTCAATCTCAACTACAAATATTTTTATAAAATAATTCTTTTAAAATTATAAATATAAAAACTATTATAACATCAAACATGTTAAAAAATTAATAAAATAATTTTTTTAAAATTATAAATATAAAAATTATTATAACATCAAACATGTTAAAAAATAATGGCTAGTAAGCTCTCTGGCGGGTCAGAGTCGTGGCCCAACAGTTTGATTACTGATGTCCAGTCCCTTCGGGAACGTCACCCTGGCATTTAAAGTTGTCCACTACCTTCAAAATTGAACCAGAGAGAGAGAGAGAGCACTTACCACGGAAAAAGTCTCCAGCGGCTGTGATCATTCTAGGGAAACGGGAAAATTAATTCCGTTGATCTATGAATGAAAATGGAAAAATTCCAGTATTAATGGGTGAAAAGCATCCGATAGCATCGAGCTTAATGCGACTCCAGAATATC